TGTTTCTTCTCAAAGACTGATGTGTGATTGTCTCCCCAACTTCCCTTCTCTTTCTGTTTGAATCGACAATCTGATTGGTTGGTCACCCATGATCGAATCTTGTGTTATCCCCAGACCAATGGTCTAAGAATTGACGCACGAAGATTATCGACTCCTTTTTGTTTACGAGTGTGTGTGTTTGAAGTCGGATGCATATATGTTTTGTGTGTGTCCGTCTGAGTACGAATTAGATGAGCATGCTAGATGATTAGATGTCTGTCTCACTATAGGATTACCCACCTTATAAGTTGTTGACCTTCATCCACCCGACCGAAGGACAGGTCTTGTGCACACACGTGTAAGCCCGACCGAGGAAGGTTGCTGCTTACACGCGTGTCTGCAAAACCTGTACTCGGCCCAACTTCTCGAATGTCTGAATTTTTGCCACACCCTGCAGTACGAATATTGAAGTCCCCTTTCGTATCACTGACCGCGACTGCCTAAGGGATCAGGAATTTTGGGAATATTGGGAACACTCTTGTTTGTTTGCATGATCAAGGGCGGAACTTTCAAAATTTCCCTACTTAACCGGGAACGAACGTATTTGCGAGTGGGACATTGACCAGGACTTGGGATGTATCCCCCATCTCCCTGGCTGCCCCAGCTTATACACGTGTCACGTCGTCGTGGAACCCGGAATCATTATTCTGAGGACCGAATTCCCTCCCTATCACCACATCCTGCCCTTTCACTCCCTGATCATTATCCCCTGGCGCGCAATCGCTCCCTACTGGTCCCAACCCCCGTGCTCGGAGTGCCTGCAAGATCACAATTACCGAGCCTCCGGCTTCATCCGGCGCATTCGCTAGGAGCACGAACGACGGGCTCACAGCCTTCCGCTGAGGCCGGCCACATCGGATTCTGAGACCTGCAACGTCCGACGCCGGCAGGTGATCAGCCAGCGAGACAACCATAGCGTCACGACGGTACACCAGATATGAGTCTGACCCAGACAATGGAGCTAATGAAGGCCGAAGCATAAAACCAGATTCCGACCCGCTGTCGCACTTTTTATAGTTCGGCCACTTA